GTGCGGCCAAACTCGCACTTCTCCGGGTTAATCTTGAACTGGTGCTGCCGAAGGAGACTAGGGACTTTATCTAGATGGGCTACATGCTCTTCGACAGTCCTACCAAAGATAAGTACGTCATCGAGGTACACGATAACAAACTTGTCCAAGTACGCATGAAAGATCCGGTTCATAGCGTGTTGAAAGGTGCCACAAGCATTGCAAAGGCCGAAAGGCATCACAACAAACTCGTACAGACCGTACCTGGTCTAAAAAGCGATTTTGTGTTGATCCTCGAGTCGGATTGCAATCTGATGGTGCCCCGACTTCAGATCTATCTTACCGAAGTACGACACCCTTGCACTCGGTCCAACAAGTCATTGATGCGCGGTAGGGGCCTTGTGTTCTTCACAGTGATGGCATTGAGGCCCCTATAGTCAATGCGCATCCTCAATGTTCCCCCCTTCTTTGGTACGAATAGGACAGGAGATCCGTAAGGGGAGACACTAGGCCGGATCCAACCCTTCTCTATGAGTTCCTTGTGTTGTCGGCGAAGCTCATCGAGCTCCGCTGGAGACTCCGATAGATTCTACCCTTCGGAATACTAGACCCTGGGATAATCTCTATCACGTGGACGACCTCCCTCTCAACAACCCCTTTTGGCTCTTCAAATAGATCAAGGTACTTGGCGACCACTCCCTCTATCTCTGGGGGCATTTTCACCGGCTCGCCCTCTCCAGAGAGTAAACTAAGTATATACCCTCCTCCGGATTTTGATTATAATAATTATAAAACGCGGCCGCACACATGCTTCCGTAGGACTCAATCAGACTACTAGCTTTATACTTACGTAATCTGGCGGTCCCCCCTCCGGGCAAAGTGTGTTTAACCACTTTTTGGTCCTAGTCAAACTGGGGTTGTGCAACCGAAAGATAGTACATACCGAGCAAGATATCCATAGGGAGATCATTGCTGATTAGGAACGAGACTCAATGTCTCAGTTCCCCTCCCGCGTACGGGAAATGACACTCAACGTTTTTGAGGTAGTTTGTGACTACCATGCGCTGTTTGTTGGCACAGGGCACAGGTCGACTCAAGCGCTGCACTTGCCTCTGTAAGCGCAACCTTTCAGCGCACGCACGACTGATAAAGTTTCTCGTCGAGCAAGTGTCATAGTATGCCCCGATCTTACGACCGCCTATATCTACCTCGCCGACAAACAACTCACCCTTAGGAGCTCTAGCCATGGCCGTTCAAGAAGCTAGCAGGTCCGATCTAGACCACTCCTCCTCTAGCTCCTCTAAGGACTCAAACACATTCATCGAACAAAGGATCGATTGGTCTGAATGTGTTTGCGGGACGACAACGGAGTCAATAGCTTGGGCCATCTCTCGAGATGGTGAGGGTGTGTCCACGATCTCGACCCTAGCAGGAACAACTACAATTCCTACTGGCCCTAGCAGGAACGTGTTTCCCGAAGCAGTGCCAGAACTGCTGGCTACATTGCTACCCGGGGAAGCAGCGGAGACCGGCGTCTGCCCCATCGTAGGCGGGATCTTTTCCGTCACCTTCTTGTTTCGGCACTTGAATTGATTATGGCCATACTGGCCACAACGAATACAAGTTGATCGAGAGTAACGGTCTCTCCACACGTTCTTTGTAAGACCCGCTTTCTCCCATGGAGGAGCATTGGGGTCCACTTGACTCCTAGACCGGGAGCCTCCGCAGCATCTACCGATCGCCTTACCTTTCTGCACTGCCCACTTTGACTGCTCCACCCCCTGAAGCTTCTGCGCTGCCCGACTTTGACCCTAATCCCTCCTGGAAGTCGTCGTCTAATTCTATGGTTGAACCATCGTTATTGACGAACATAATACGCCCCTTAGCCTTCCAGTTAGGAGGCAGTGCCTTCTTCCTACCGCCCGTAGTGGGTTGGTGCCCATGCCCGATCTTTTCCTCAAGGGCCATCTTGCTGAATGAAGGAAAGTTGTGTACTATGATCATGGCCTCGCCTGCCAACTAGTTCTTGAGCTCTATGGGAAGACATCTCAGGAAAGTGGTGAGCAAGACTTGGGGGTCATAACACACTTCAGGTACACATATCAGACACTCAACTGTGTTTGTGGCATCCCTTACTGACCTGAACTTTCTTGAGCTCAGAGTCAGGATCGCATCAGTGGCCTTTTGAGCCTCCTATGGATCATGCCACCTTTCCTCCACCAGCTTGAGGAAGTCATCCAATTTCTGGGTGACTGCCCAAGCGCAAAAGTCATGACCGTATCCCTGTAGCTGTATGTACCCACTTAGCCACCTTGTTGCACTCCCCTCCAGGTAGGAGGCAACCACAAACACTTCCTTGTGAGGCAAGGTCAACTTGCACTTCACATAGACTGGCACTGACCTGAACCATGTGTCGAGGTCCTCACCCCTCTTATCTCCTGAGAAGGGCTTAGGCGAAGCAATGGCAGTCTTGGGAACCCACTGTCCCTGTCTCGGTGCCCACACTACTCCAGGCTGTGGACCCTGGGGTGCAAGCTGCTGCACTAGCTGCTGCTGGGGCTGTGTACCCTGCGGCTGTGTTGGCTGCAAGATGGCAGGCTGCCCTGTTACGGCAGTCTGCAACAGAGGTTGGGAGAACACTGTCTGAACAGGAACCTGTACACAATGACCTGCTGGTAACCCGCTTGTCAAAGGCATACCCAGCAGGGAAGTGGCCTGCACCGAAGCTGGAGAGACTACAAATGGGGTTACTCCAGTTACTGGTGGGACAAAAGGAGGAGGTTGTACCACGGGCCAAGCACCTGGCCCTGATGGTGATGGTGCGACCTGAACTCGCCCTACCAGCACGACCAGGCTCTGCTGAATGTCCTGTAAGAGTGACGTGTGGTAGTCCTGCATCTCCACTGCATCTAACAGGGTTGTCCTCACGGTCCTCACATCTTCATTCACATTGGTCAGGTCCATCTCCTCTAACTATCTAATGTCCGCTTGTCTCCGCTGCATCCTAGACCTTCTTGTGATCATCCTCTCCTTCTCTGCTTGTATCTCATCTAACGCCTTTTGTAGTTGTGCCCCATGAGAACTTGCTCTCTGTATGGCGACCTCCTTAGGAGTTAACACTAACTGCTGGCTTGCCATCACGCGAGCGGACTGACCTAGAGTTTGTGTGACCGTCGCCCCAACAGTTCCTGAACTACTGGCCTGGGAACTTTGCTGCGCAGCGGTTGCCATGACTGCTGAAGTAGCTGCCTCGCTTGCAAAGGCTCTGCTTGCCTCTGCGTCCCTAGCCCTTCGCTGCTGCTGCTGCCTCTCCCTAAGCTGGCGGAACAGAAATCGGTCACCCTCTGGTCCTAATGCTAAGTGAACCAATGGGCGTCTTGATGAATGCAGGATCCGATCATCCGGGTCGGGATTCTCCCTGTCGCTCATAAGCTACAGAACTGTGCAGTGTCTGCACTAGGACAGACTCTATTGCCTATGGCAGTGTTGTGCTCAGACCAATTTAAAATAAATAAAATAATAATCGGTGGCAATGTCAAAGCATACATATATGGGTCCAACAGGTAAGTCCAAATTCCTACAAACGGAACTACCTTACTTGACTAGTCCGCAAACAAAAAGCAAATGAGCAGAACAGGAAGTTCTACCTATGTTGTCTATCAAATGTTAATGGTTGTAGATCTAACTAATCAAAATAAAAATATAATCGTTTGGATGGCTGTTGGCAAAGTGAAATTGTTCCCGAACTTGTCACCTGAAATCTACCCCTCCCTCAATTCTTCTTGATTGTCGCTTGACGTCGGCGTCCCTGAGCAATCCAGATAGCGTGTGTGTTTAAAGGTGTGCACACGGCCCACCCCTGTGGCCCGAGTCAATGCTGAGCTGGCGAGCCCTCCACTATGTTTACCCTCGCGTGCAGTGAGCCTTACACCGACTGATTGGCTGATCAAGAGGCAGCTTAAGGACGGCCCCCGAAGTCCTCAGAAATTATTTAACGTCGCAAACAGGACAACGATCACAGCCAATGGCAGGTACCCCGCCGGTACTTATTTATAGACGTCCAGTACTCGTCCCCGCTGTAGGGTTGGCCTGCCCCTCATAACCCATCTACAGCGCAGCAGGCAGACAAAGGACAAAGCAGCAAAGCATGTGTGCTCTACTCCCGGTGGGTTGGCATGGTGACCGTGACCCAGTGCTTCGTCCAAGGCCCTCCAGATAGCTGCGCCCTCTCCTTCCAAATGCTCCACATGAACAATGCCCACTCACAAGGTTGAGTGCACTCAACTCCTCACATGAGAGGACTCTCAAGACAAAACACACATCCTCACGATAAGAAGTGACGAAGAAGGTAGATAAGGTTAAGAGCAACGCACCTCAAAATAGCTGCCCCCAACCACAGATATTCTCACCAGATGACCTGACGTCGATTGTGATGACCAATCATTGCTTCGGCACAACCAGCATTACACCGCCGTTCCACCTCAGCATCAATCGCACCTCTGATACTTCTCATCACACTGCGAAACACCCAATATCACCTCATAGCCTTCCTGGCGATACCCTTCTCTGCCTGGGTCGCCTGCTTGTCTCCGCCCTCCTCACTACACACCTCCCACGACCGCTCACCCAACTGACCGCGTGCATGTACCACATTGACAGAAGACAAGCGCCAGATTAGCGCAACTTACCACAACTCCGATACCAAAAATGCAAGGAAAATGAGGGATAGAGAATTCCAGAAATCAAGCAGCATCATACACATGAAACCAGATAGTCGTGACCTCGAACCAAGCAAAATTGCAACTTGAGTTCCACCAAACAAGAGCGCAACAAAAACTCACAAGTGACAATGTTGGAATAGTCTCATCATCATTAACAACGAACAGTCGATTCCCTATTTGGCGCTCGACGCCACTACTACGAATGGCAGATCCTATCTAGCCTAGGCACAATGTCGCTGGTGACGTCAACAGCTCCCCGAAGTACAAGCAGATCTCGGCCAATGCCGTTCGCCTCAAGCACCAAGTGTGTCTCACACTTCAGTCACAACCTTGATCCCCCACACAGATGCCACGCGCCCCATCCAACATCTCGCAAGCCAGCTCGGCTATGGCTGCCCGCGTGTGCCCTGCTCGCCTGTGAGCGTGTGGGCGCTTGCCTGTCAGTACCGCAGCAGCGCTTGCGCAGCAAGTAGCAAGTGCCCGAATGCCGCATGCGGAGGCAGGCCCATTCTTTTATCAAAGTGGCCTGCCTTTTGTGGCCTGCCTTTTGTGAGCTGCCTTTTGTGGGGCCCTGCCTAGAAGCCTCCGGTAGGCCCCAAGTGGCTGAGACCCTGACCCAGGGAATCACACGCAGGGACTGGGGTGGTTACCCGTGTCCAACTGCCAGCGGCCTGTGTTCAGTCCACGCCCCGTGTCTGGCCCACAGACTGACTTAGATTCATTTGGAAAAAGGCAGGTAGGGCCTGGGCTCCTCAACCAACTAGCGCTGTGAGGGCGGTCGTTATGGTTGAAACAGGGCCAGTAGGGCTTACCGAGGCCTTGAGCCTCGCATTCCCTTCATACTTCGACAGTCCTCTGAGAAGTTCAATCATTCAATCTGGCGCTTTCCTTTTTGCAGTGACTTCTCATACTTAGCGACAACCTGTGGAGCGGTCTGCATCAGTTCCTCCTATGTAAACCATCTGTCTTGCTTTGGATCAATGTGATGTCTAAACCGAACGCAATACTTCAGCTTCGGCTTCGGAGAACAGCCCTGCCTGTTGGTTTTGGAACCGACATTTCTTTGTGATCCACGATGTCGTTGATGTCGACCACTCCATCCATGGTTGGGGGCAGCATTGGGCGACGAGAGGGAAACTCGTCAGTTTCCTTGAAAGGTGCGAGCTTGGAGGCGTGACAAACAGGGTAGGTGCGAAGGTGACCAGGGATCCAATTACATACGATGGCCCGTCCGGATCATTCCCGACAATATTTAGAACCTCCCATGGCCTGAAGTACTATGGCATGAGCTTGCGGGACATCCCATGCTCCTGCCCCAGTTCAGAGGCTTTGACCCAGACCCTGTCCTCTACCTAGAATGTAGATGGGTGGTGGTGCTTGCTCTCAGATTCTATCATCGCCGCCTGTGCTCTATGCATCTGTTCTACAACTTGCTGCATCAGGCGTTCATATCAATAGGCGAATTCTTAGGTGCCCGGTGCAGCAATTGGCCGGTTCTCAGGTAGTAGAAAGTCTAGGGGCAATCTAGGCTTAAAGGTCGGTAGCAGAATGTTAGGGCTCACCCCAATTGCGTTGTGCACAGCATTGTTGCACAGACTGGCGACAAGTGCAAGTTCTCATCCCAATCCACCTGGTTACGCTTGATGTAATGCCTCAGCAGGTGTTGTACAACATGGTTCAATTGTTTTGCTTGCCCGTTTGCCTCAGGGTGGTTCCCGGAGGTCATCTGCAACTGTATCCCCTGTTCTGCAGCTGCAACTTTCCACAATTCACTAGTAAATCGCATATCCCGGTCACTAACTATATACTTTGGCAAACCAAAATCTCTGACCCAGTGTTCTTTGAACAACTTAATTACGTACTCGGTCTTGGCTGTCTCGGGCATTGCGACTAACCTAGCATACTTACTAAATCTATCCACAATGACAAAGACGTATCGCATACCGCTCTTGCTAGTGACCAGCGTGTCCATGAAATCCATGGATAGGCTCTCACCGGGCCTTTCCGGTATCGGAAGGGGCTTGAGAAGCCCAAGAGGGGCCTACGTACGTGGCTTGTCCCTCTGATATACTTGACAAGTCTCCACGTACAGCTAGGCGTCTTTCACCATTGTGGGCCACCAGAACTGCTGCAGCAAGTTGGCTGCAATCTTCTTATAACCAAAATGTCATGTGGCGTTATGACACTCACCTAAAAATAAACTACGCAAAGACTCCCGGTTAGGCACACACAAACGTTTATTCCCGACCTTTTCGAGGAACAGCAAGCCATTGACCAACACAAACTCGTCAGAACTCACTTTATCCTTTGCCTCGAGCCTACGTATGATCTCAACCATAAACGRATCCTCGCGATAAGCTTCCACCAAAGATCGAGTAATATCATCCGCAAACCCAAACTCGGCGATCAGCGCACCAAGGAAGTCTGGCCTCCGCCATAGCGCATCAGAAACCTTGTTGTACTCTCCTTTGATGTACTGGGCTTCGAAGTCATACTGCTTTATGACTTCAATCCAGCGTTTCAGCGCATCGGAGAGCACCGACTGGGTTCTCATTCACTTCAGGGTATGATGACCAGTCCTGACGTAGAAGAACCTCCCAAGGAGATAGTGCCTCCAGTGGGTTAGCGCCTTGTAGATCGCGTAGAGCTCCTTCTCATAGGTGGACTTAACCAACTTCCGAGAGGGCATCTTTTTGGATATGTACTCGACCGGCCTCAACTTTGGCCTCTACTGCTGCGTAAGCACGACACCAATGCCATACTGGCTGGCATCCATGCTTACTATAAATGGCTTATCAGGATCAGGAAGTTTCAAGACTTCATGGTGTGTTAAGAAGTGCTTTAGATGTCTGAAAGCAGCCTCACACCTGTCTGTCCACTCCCACGGGGTGTCAAGGCGTGTGACGTTCGTCAAAGGCGCGACCACTATGCTATAGTTCTTTACAAAATTACGGTAGTAGCCGGTCATCCTTAAGAAGGACCTCGTCTCAGTCACAGACTGAGGACACGRCCAATCACGAATACTGGCCACCTTCGCGTCATTGGGCTTCAATCCCTCCGTGAAAATCTCCTGACCCAGTCATGATTCGGGTGCGGCCAAACTCGCACTTCTCCGGGTTAATCTTGAACTGGTGCTGCCGAAGGAGACTAGGGACTTTATCTAGATGGGCTACATGCTCTTCGAC